CAAATATATACAATAGCACCAGGCATAGTTTTACATGCCATTGAAAAGAACACTATGCTTTAATTGCAACAACATAAGAACATTTGTTCAGCAAAGACTTATTAAGCGATTATTCTGTGAGAGGCACTGTGTCAGGCACTGGGGTCACAAAAGTGATGCTGACATGACCCCACATCAAGGATCCCAGCGTCTTGTGAGGGAGTCAGACCCACTAATAGCCAATTACGTGCCATGTGTTGAGTGCAATGTGGGACCAGAGGAGGGACACCTAAATATCCTGAGGAGGGAGGAGTTAGGAAAGGCTTCCTGGAGCAGGCTGGCAAAGGAAGACAAGGAAGGGCAAAGAAAGGCCACCGGGGTGGAGGGAAGAATATTAGGTAAGAGAAATATGGCATGTGTCTCCCATGATGATAAGGTCAGTGTTGGCTGGCTATATAGCCTAGCACAGAATACAGGGCTTGCCATAGATGATGCTGTACAACAGCACTTCTTGACTGTTTTGGTCTCAGGACCTTACATTCTTAAAAATTATTGAGGACCCCAAATAGCTTCTGTTCATATAAACTTTATTGATGTTTACTGTATTAGGAATTAAAACTGAAAAATTGTAAACATAGTTATTCATGTACTTAATTATGTTACCTTAAGCTATATTCTATGGTGGAAAAAAATCACTAAATTTTCCAAACACAAACAAGTGAGAAGTGTGGCATTGTTTTACGTGTTTGCAACTCTTTAATGTCTGGCTTAACAGGAGCCATCTGGATTCTCATATCTGCCTCTACAGCCCACCTACTACAACACCACGTCAAGTAGCAGCTGGAAAACTCCACTCTACACTTACGACAGAAAAACAGTAACAAATAGCTAGTCTGGGTGTGCAGCCTATGTGAGAAGATGGAGCTCTCAATCTGAAATACCAGTGGTGAGAAAATCTGGTAGGGACATTTCTAACAAGACACAAAATGTCACCAGCCTCTCTAATGACACAAAATGCTGAGCGACAGGGCTGAACAATACATGTATGCCTACTGGAAATCATATTTACATTTTCAGTCTCTGAAATTTGGGGAATATGATGCTAATATCAGTATATTCTAGATGTTTAAATAGGGGATCCACTGGAAAATATGAGATGTTATTTTTTTTTAATGGGGGATTAAAAAAAAATGAAAATCACAAGAAAAAACAATATTAAAACACATAGAGTACATTTTAAATGCCCTAAAGGAGAATTGTTGGAACCATTAGTGGATCCCTTCAGCAAAATATAGCCACAAACCAGAGGTTTTGTTGAAGATGAAAAGAACTCTAATTGAATAGGAAAATCTAATTTAGCCACACATATGTGACCATTTAGAACCAACACAATTTACTTTGAAAAAAAAAGTTTTGCAAATTCCTATGATATTGAAATGAACTAAGCATAATGAACTCAAGCGTGAAATTATTAGCTTTGCTTGTAATGACAGAGTCAATGTGAAAACTTGCCTTCAGTGGTATCAATACTTCTTTGCCTGAGATAGTTCAAATCCAAATTCATTTGCACTGTGATCAACCCTTCCTAATATGTGTATGGAAAGTCCCCAAATTGTCTCATGGCCTGCCTAACTGCCTAGCTTTTATGAATATTCTAGCCAGGCCAAGGCAGGTTTCCAGTACGAGCAGCACATACTGTATCCAGACATGAAATGGATGTCATCAGAGAGGCCACTGAGCCACCTCTCAGTAATTGAAAGGCAGCTGGAGGACTCCAGGGGGCAGAAGATTTGGGCTAAATTGTGGCTAGGGATCTAGGATACCAAGAGAAAGAGAGGGGGGAACCAGAAAATGAGATGAGGGGAAGTGAAAGAGGCACATTTCCAGATGGAGACATTTTATTTACAAACATGAATCAAAACAGATTTATACTTTCCTACCTCCACAGTGGATTTTCATCTTACAAAATAGACTGGCTACCAAAAGCCTTCATAAAATCTGCCTTCCCCTTTGCAGTGAGAAATAAGCAAAAAGTCAAAGGTTAAAAGGTCATGCATAAAATATTATATCCACCAAGATATACAACTGTCTTAACTTCTTCACAAATCAATGATAAAACAGTAACTAATTTACACTTCACTATATTTTGTAGCACTTCAAGATTTTTTCTTCATATATTTATGGTCACATTTCACAAACAACAACGACATTATAAAAAGACTATCCGTTTTTTCTTAAAATCGGAAAACAAAACAAAGCCATAACACTTAAAAGAAATCAATCTGCAGAGCATAAACATTTTTTATAAGAACAAAAATTAAAACAAAATAAACTGATTCCAAGCCAAAATATCTTCAATATAAACTCTGCATGCTTCCCAAAGGAATTCTTAGCACTCAGATTTTTGGTTGGTTTAGCCTCTTTTGTATCTAGTGGGTTTTGTGTATCATGATTCCCAATTATTATACCAAGGAAAATTTCAAGGAAGACCTTCAAGAAAGGTCTGAGGTGGGATATAGTGCAAGTCACTTTCACATATATAAAAGCCATGCTGCGCGGCATGTGGGATCTTAGTTCCCCGACCAGGGATAGAACCCAGGCCACAGCAGTGAAAATGCTGGGTCCTAAACACTGGGCCACCAGGGAATTCCCAATAAAAGCTTTAATGAAACTTAGATGCTTCATCAGAAACAGTGCTTGACCCCTTTTTTCTTTCACCCCCTCTTTTCATCTGAGAGAGCCCTTTGGAGACCAAGAATCATTCACTGTCTGTAGTTAGTACAAGATTTGGCTCACAATTCTGGGGGGGCGGGGAATGCCATTTTAAGGAATTCTGTGCATGTATTATATTTTCTTTGCTTTCCTAGAGGTGGGTAACCTCAAAATAAGGTCAAAACATTGGTTCCTTCAAATGGCATCAAAAAGAATAGTATTAAATGAGGAGGGTAGCTGTCATAGAGTAAGAACTAAAATCCCATGTTTTTAGGGGAAAAAATTGATCATGTACCTGTCTGTGTATATGGAATAATGACCTACAAAAACAAACACACACACACACAAAACACTGTTGAAGAAGAGGCCAATACAATTTTCCAGTCTGACAAAATGGTTGGAATTTATAGTTGGAAGACACCTCATAGATTCAGTAATTCAATTCTCTGATTTTAGAGGAGAGGGAAAACAGGCCTGGAGACGGTAAGTGACTTGCCTGAGTCCATTAGCATGTTAATTTGTATGATTATTTTTATACATACACAGGCACACAGACAGATACTCACTGTTGCATTTACTTCTGTCTTGTACATAAAATGCTCTTGACTTAAATAATAAATGAAAAATAAACAGGCAGATTTTCATTTGTTATTTCATCCTCATAAGTAGGAAATACCCATCTTTCAAATGAGTGAGAAGGCTCTACTTTCTTTCCACTGATAAATATATTGTATCATGACTTGGCTGTGTAGCTGCTCTCTGCAGTCCCTGAAAGTAGCACAGATTGCAGCAGTACGAAGAGCGGCAGGAAGGAAGGCGAAGGTACACAAGTCAAATCAGAATTGGAGTTTCCTTCTGTGCCAAAGATGTCCCACAGGCAGTGAAGGCTTCACATGAAATTAAGCCTAGTCTATTGTAACTTTAGACCTACTTGGAAGGCGATAATGAAGGGTGTCACCTAGAAGAGTATGAAGCAGTTCCTCTGACCACAGAGAGCAGAAATGACCAATGTGTGTCTTGTCTAAGCTATTGAACTATAAACTTAGATGACTTTACTAGGTGTAGTCGTAGTTTCTAATTATTGTGATTTGTATATGCATATAAACATCAAAATATTTAGGCCTTATATATGGTAACAATAGGTATTTTACCTCTTTTCATAAAATTACATGTGGATATAATTCTAAAGTTTTTTTTTAAACCCTAAGGTAGTTTTTAAAAAAAATCATTATTTTTAATATTCATTACTGACTTTATTCTGAAAAATCTTGTCTAGCTATATGTATTAACATTAAATAACTTAAAAAAATAAACAATACAGTACATTATATATACCAAAATAGCCCCATTTTAAAGCCATGTAAGTGAAAAAGTTGAGTTTTCAAGAATAAACTAGACCCTCTAAAGGTATTTTTCATAATTTTAATATTAAATGTATCTCCTTTTCTGACTATGCCAAATATATACACACCACTCTTGGTAATTTATGTGAGAAGTATTCATTATGAAAACAATAGGTTGATTCATTTGTCTGTTTTTACTTGTTCTGTAAAGGAAAATTTATTCTAAATCTAAATTAATTTGCTCCCAAAAGATCTCCACCAGGGAGATAGCATAACCAAAAAACTTAATGATGTACAGATATCCAGTGCATGCAACCTCATATTTTCTAATAATAGTGGTAGAAAGTAACTTTCAAGTATTATCATAATCCAACTGGACTTAGAGACAGCTATCACATAAAATTAACACTCTAAAGGAGGAAAGTCATTTGAGAAAGTTGTCCTTGCTAGAACAGCTCTGCCAAAATTCCCACAGGAAACAAAGCCATCCATCCATAAAGAACAGAGGGTACTTGGTAGCCAGCACTGACCTTGAAGTGAACACATTTAACACTGTTCTTAACTCAAAGTAAACTCTAGCAAGTTGAAGAGCCCACATTTTCTTTTTACTCATTAAAGGTCATCCGCAGCTGGAAGAATTTCTCCTAAAAAGAACTTCTTGATGGAGGCAAGACTCAAAGCTTTTTCCAGCTCCTAGCCCTGCTTTCTGCAGCTGTGGGTGTTAGTAGTAATTTGGTTAAGACAAGAACAGAGAGACTGGCTCACTTAGAGATCCAGATTCAGATGTTTTTGCACTTATGTTACTCAAAAGCATTTTTTTTAATTAAATTAACATAAAGTCTGCAGGGAATAGAGATTCCATAACTCAAGTAACGAGGGGAAATTAGTCACCTAAAGAGTGAATGTCTTTCCAGAGCAGGTGCAGGAGATCAAGAGGGGCTCAAGCCTTTTAGAAATTTCACTCCTTTACAGGTTTTGATCCAGCCACTTGATGTAACTATTCCTAGTCCGAATTCCCACTGAGAAGTTGGTAGGCCAGCTGGTGAAAATCATGCATCCGTGGAAGCCATCCTCAAAGTGATCAAGGGTCACCTCCACACCTGCACTCTCCAAACGCTTTGCATACATGATGCCATCGTCTCTTAGGACATCGTGCTCACAGGTTAGAATATAGGTCTTTGGGAGGTGCCGCAGGACTTCCTGGTCTGCGATGAGTGGGGCTGAGCGGGCATCCAGCAGCTGAGGGATCTCCTGGACGATCCTGGTGTTGCCGGTGGTCTGCATGACGGGCTTGTAGTTCTTTGTGATGGATGCGGGCAAGAGGGATGTCCAGTTTAGATGGGCCCTGAGGGCAGCAGCCTCTTCCACATCAAGTGAAGTGTGATTGTTAACTATCATTGCTTGGACAAAGTCATGGTTGCCATGGAAGTAGTCCACCCAGTACTTCACCATGACATAACGGGGCAGGATGGGGGTGTTCACATTTTGCTGATAAGAGGGTGTGTTAAAATCTAAAGCTTGAAGAACTGGATAGATTAAAGCTTGCACTTTGAGCTTGTTTTTTAGGTTGGCATCTTGATTAAACTGGAGAAGAGAAAGCGAACACATTATTTCATTTTGAATGGCTTCTTTTACAGAAACCATACCTTTTAAAGTAGCCCAGTGCTTTACCTTGACTCAATCAAAGGGGTATAAGTGTTACATTCCTACCAGGCATGGTATTAAGGAATGTAGTTTAAAAAATAACTACTTCCCCATCGCCACCACTACCACCACCCTTCAAGCTGCTGGATATTTACTGAGAAAGGTGTGATGTTTGCAACTCATAGTTCTGAGTGAACACTTCAAAGGTACATGATCTCTTAGGTCCTTAAACCCCCATCTAAAAGGCAGCTAACTAGGTCACTGTGTTTCACAAGCAGCTAAACAATCTTCAAGGTAACATTAGCCATACAATTTTGTTTCACACCACACTTTAGAACCCATCCCGAGGGAAGATGTAACTGCTCTGTAAAAGCAGGAGGAAATGATCAGTTAATAGTATTATTAATGTGTGCCAAGAGCTGTATATACCTCATATCACTGAATCCTGGCAACAGCCCTGCAATCAAATGGCATGAGCCTCATTTTCCTGAGGCTCAAAGAGGTGAGAGGACTTGCCAAAGCCCCACAGCTCTCACAGCGGGGCCTGGATTCCATCCTGGTTGTGTCCAGTTTTAAAGCCCATGAGGTTCTCCCCACTGTACCAGGACTTTCTTCTTACCGCTTTGGATGTGTGGATAGCAAACCCACCAATGCCAAGCGGAGGACAAAGTTCTTTATTTATAGCAAAAGAGAAGAAATCAGGACATGCCACAAATGAAAAGGCAGATGCTATTTGAGAATGCCAAAAGAAATTTGGAGGTAAGAAGACAGAGATGCTATTCTTAAATTATTTAACCCAGAAAAGGAAGAAAATGTACTTATCTTTGAGTCTACACAGCTGCCCAAAATTGGGGATGCTACTAGAGCTAGACAGTTTTCAAAGAATTTAACCAGCTAAAGCTCAGACTAACTTGTATTGTAACATTTAAAGTGGATGAACCATTTAACTCTTTCTTTTATATTAAAAAAAAAAAAAAAACCTTTGGGAAACACTTTAAAATTTTTTAATTTGGCTCAAAATTTAAGGAAACAACCTTAGCAATTGGAATTTAAGCAAAATTATCTTGTTTGTAAGTCCAACATGGAAAAGGAGCAGAAGATACTTAATTTCCATACATATCCCTGAGGAGTAAGGGAGCCCTCTAAAATGTTAGCCCTCCTCTCACATTACTCACCTTAATTGTAATCAGGGCCCTTCCAAGGACTCAAAGATTACAATTCTTTCAATGACCCCTCTTCCTACTTCAAAAGATCTCTGAGAGCTTTCCAAGTGCAGTCATCTGAATTACTTGGCCCCCCCAAGTGACCAGCCCACCCAGCTAGGCCTTTGCCATGCCTAGTGGACGATCTGTTGAACATTATCACACACTCTCCTTCCACCAGCACCTCAGGGCTCTCTGTTACCTGTTGGCCCAGGGCAGCCGCCAAATTCCCACCAGCACTGTCACCAGAAACGCCGATTCTGCCTGGGTCAACTGAATACTTGTGTAAGACTTCTGGCTGCAGGAAGTACTTTGTGGCACGTATAACATCATGAATTTGCTCAGGAAAATAAACCTTTGGAACTAGCCTGTATCTGTGAAGACAAAAGTTGTATTCATTTAAGGACTTCACCAAGTCTTTAGAGGCCATTTAAAGTTTAAGGGGAAACTGGTTCTTTTGAAGCCAGAAACAAATAGGTAAGGAATTATAATAAATATAAAAATAAACCATTTTCTTGCAATTCAAATACTTTTAAAAAGTCATGATTTTGTCATAGTAATTTTTACTGTGGGCCGCCAAACAAAACAAACAAAAACAAAAACCTACAACCACCACCAAGGCAAAAACAAAACTTTGAAGTAAAAGGCAGATGTTGATCATTAAAATATAGATAGAACCACAAAAGATTCTGGAATTTTATTTCTGGAAGTCAGTGTTCTGTTCACAACACCTCTGGGTTAGAAGGTGACTCGGCAGCACTAACCACTTCATTGGTCTCAAGTTTAATGAGTCCATATGGTATTCTTCATGATTTACTTGATAAATATAGTAAAACTGTACTCCATTGAAGAGGTCATGCCAGCCCAACATTAAACCCAAGCAATGTATTTGCTCCCTGGAAGGCTGGAACTAAAAGGTCAGCTGTCAACCAGCAAAAGGGAAACCAAGTTTCCAGATGGCCCATGGCAGGCCTGCTGGGACACTTCTGGGGCTTCTCCTACCGCTCCACTTTGCAAGATTAGAGTCCCTCTGGGATCCTGCTCTGTACACTCAGTAGGATTCAGATTCCCTTAAGAGCCCCAAGAGCCCTGGTTTTGTCAAATGCCCCACCTGTATATAATATCACCTTACAAATCCATTGGTAGTCTCGGCTTGAGGTGCCCTCTCATCCTCCACGCTCCTTATTTCTCACTCATCCTTTAAGCTTTACTTGAGGGTTTGCCTTCTCCAGGAAGCTCTCCTTGACTACAACTCCACTTGCTTCTGGGGCTCAGCTGGCTACCATTCCTTGATACTTCTATGTGCTGGGGTATATTGTTCATATTGCCTCATAGTAACATGATTTCTTTCCATATTTCCTCTTAAGAGTGTGCTCTCCGATATCAGGGACTATGTGTTTCCAGTGTATATCTATCAATGTGCTGAGCACATAATCATGCATCTAGTAAAACTTTTCTGAGTATTAACATACCTTCATTTTGCAAGTGAAGAAACTGAGGCATAGAAAAACTACTTGATTTGTAAAATAAACCAAACACAAATCAAAACAAGGTAGGATAGGAATTAATTAAAACCTAATAATAGTCAGCTAATACTCAAGTCTTTTGATTTCCAATTTGTAATGAGCATATTTATTCTCAGAAACTAGTTTTTTCTATACTACTCTATATAAGGTCATTCATTTCCCCCATCTAAATTCCAGATAGTTAATTAAATATCTTCACATTCTGGGAATTCCCTGGCGGTCTGGTGGTTAGGATGCTGTGCTTCCACTGCAGGGGACACGGGTTCGATCCCTGGTTAGGGAATTAAGATCCCAAAAGCTGCACAGCGCAGCCAAAAAAAAAAAATCTTGACATTCTGTGCAGACACAATCAAATCAACAAATATTTATGAAATACTTTGATAAGTAGTGAATGTAGATCTGCTCTTTCAGGAATTACTACATTTTTAAAACACAAAATGCAATAAGAAATTCCTTTAGTGGTTGCCCTATAACAGATAAAGTAAGTTTTCTAATTTCTTTTTTTTTTACATCTGTGATGATCAAGTAATCATCTGAAATATTTTTTCTCCAGCTGACTTTCACAATGTCTTAGTGAAGCTGCTGCTACTTTATTTCATTCATTAATAATGGGTAAAAGGAGTTGGAGTACCCCATTTTGTCCAATAGGTGGAGTCCTCTCATATAATTCTATTTACCCTCAGTTCTGGGATGAGGTCTCAATTTGTTACTTTCAATATTACCAAGCTGAATTCTTAATTCTTTCAATGAAATAAGAACAAATGCACTTCATGACTCAAGGTGTGAAAATAAAGGCTATTTTGTCTCAGGAAGATTCCAGATAGCATGATAGACTATCTTCCTAGTGGCCCAAGAAGTCAGAACATATTTTGCTAGAACGCATACGTGAATCAAATTTTCAGATGTTATTTCACAAAAGGTCTTAATGACTTTGAATCAAGAGGAACTCCGCAACGGAAGAGGCCACAACAGTGAGAGGCCTGCGTACTGCCAAAAAAAAAAAAAAAAAAAAAAAAAAAAA